ACATCTCATTGTGGTTTTGATTTGCATTTCCTTGATGATTAGTGCTGTTGGGCACCTTTTCTTATACCTGTTAGCTATTTGAATGTCTTCTTTTGAGAAATGTCTATTCAGGTCCTTTGTCCATTTTTTAATTGAGTTACTTGTTTCTTGGCTGAGTTTTGTGAATTCCTTATATATTTTGTACATTAAACTTTTATCTGGCTTAGTTTGCAAATATATTTTTTTAATTCCTTGGCTGCTTTTTCATTTTGATGATTGTTTCCTTTGCTGTGTATAGCTTTTTAGTCTGATGTAGTCCCACTTTGTTTATTTTTGCTTTTGTTGCCTGTGCTTTTGGTGAGATAGCCAAAAAATCCTTGTCAACATCAATATGAAGAAGTTTTGCTTCTGTGTTTTCTTCTAGGAGTTTTTTGGTTTCAGATCTTATGCTCAGATCTTTTGAGTTGATTTTTATGTATGGTGTATGATAAGGGTCCAGTTTCATTTTTTTTTTTGCATGTGGATATCTCGTTTTCCCATCACAATTTATTGAAGAGACTATACTTTCCCATTGTGTCATCTTGATGGCCTTGTCAAAAATTAGTTGACTGTGTATGCTTGGGTTTATTTTTGGGCTTTCTATTCTATTCCATTGGTCTATGTATCCGTTTTTATGCCAATACCATACTGTTTTGATTAATGTTGTTTTGTAATATAATTTGAAATCAGGAAGTATGATGGCTCCAACTTTGCATTTCTTTTTTAAGATTGTTTTGAAGACTCTGGGTCTTTGGCGGTTCCATACAACTTTTAGGGTTGTTATTTCTATTTCCAATTGAAAATGCCTTTGGAATTTTCATAGGGATTGCACTGAATCTGTATATTGCTTTAGGTAGTATGGACATTTTACTAATATTGATTCTTTCAATCTATGAACATGAGATATCTTTCCATTGATTTGTATCTTCTTCAGTTTCTTTCCTCTGTGTTTTATAGTTTTCAGAGTACAGATCTTTCACTTCTTTGGTTAAATTTATTCCTAAATATTTTATTCTCTTTGACGCTATTATAAATGGAATTGTTTTTGATGCTAATATAAATGGAATTGATATCTTTTCAGATAGATTCTTATTGGTGAAAAGAAATGTGACTGATTTTTGTATGTGGATTTTGTATCCTGCAACTTTACTAAATTCATTGATTAGTTCTAACAGTTTTTAGTGGAGTGTTTAAGATTTCTACATATAAGATCCTGTCACTTGAAACAGGGATAATTTTACCTCTTCTTTCCCAATCTTTATTTCTTTTTCTTGTCTATGTGCTCTTGCTAATAATTCCAGTACTGTGTTAAATAGAAATGGTGAGAGTGGGCAGTTTTGCCTTGTACTAAGTCTTGGAAGAAAAGCATTCAGGTTTTCCCCATTGACTATGATATCAGCTATGGGCTTTTCATAAATGGCCTTCATCATGTTCAGGAAATTTCCTTCTACACCTATTTTGTTGAGAGTTTTTTTTTTTAATCATGAAAGGATATTGAACTTTGTTAAGTGCTTTCTCTGCATTGATTGAGATGATCGTGTGCTTTTTATGTTTTATTCTGTTAATGTAGTATATCACATTGGTAGTTTTGCATACGTTTAAACCAACCTTGCATCCTAGGGATAAATCCCACTTAGTCATGGTGTATACACTTTTTGACCTGTTGTTGAATTTGGTTTGCTGGTATTTTGATGAGAATTTTTGCATCTATATTAATAGATACTGGCCTATAGATTTTTTCTTGTGGTATCTTTGTCTGGCTTTGGTATTAGGGTAATGATGGCCTCATAAAATGAGTTTGATAGTATCTTTTCTACTTCTATTTTTTTTTTTTGGAAGAGTTTAAGAAGGATTGGTGTTCTTTGAATGTTTGGTAGAATTCAGCTGTGAAGCCATCTGGTCCTGGGCTTTTCTTGGCATCTTGGTTTCTTTTGTTTTAAAAAAATAAATCCAGCAATAGGCAGTCACAGAAGTAGAGCAAAACAGGAAAACATGGAGAGTCCATTATGTTTATCTTCTCCAGGTTGTTAGTTGATGGTTTTCTGGGAGCCTTCTTGATGATCAAGGTCTCTCTGTAGCATAATAGTTAACAGGTTAGGACTGTGGAGTCAGCTAGAGCTGGATTTGCTATTCAGCTCTACCACATGAGAATTATGCAAACTTGGCCCCTAAAGCCTCAGTGTTCTCATCTAAAAAATGGGTTAATAATATTAACTCATAGCTCTCACTCCTTAGTAAGCTATACATATTTTTAGACATCATTTTTTTCCCTGCCAATAAAAAGAATATTCAGTGACACTGGACCAGAGGCCATTTTTCTTGCATACTCCTGCTTTTCTTCTAGTGTACCACTCTCACTTCCCTTTTCTTCTTTTTCCCCTCTTGCTACCTTTCCATTCAAACTAGCTCACTCTCCCCCACTTTTTTTTTTTTTTTTTTTTTAAAGTATCTTACTCACAACCCATTGTGGGAATTGCAATGCAGGATAAAACTGTGAAAGCGCTGTCTAAAGTTTCAAAGAGACTAATTAAAACCCAGGGAATAAATTTCAATAGAATTTCACTTGAGTAACTGCCAACTACCACTAGAGGTTAACTGCTAACTACTACTAGAGCTTATTTGGGAAGACAGTCCATGATCCTAAGCTATTAAGGCCATTGCGCCAGCCATCTCTTCGAACTCATTTGTCTGGACAGACTACTCTCATTATTGGGTTATTTAAAGGCATTTAGACTTTCTTCTTGAGGGACGAGAGGGTGGGTTCCCCCCTCATAAATTTTGTCTCCAATTCTTAGACTTCTTCATCCTTCATGCAAATCACCATGAAAGTGGGTCTCATGACCCAAGGTAACTTTTTCAGAAGACTTGGGGGAGGGGGAGGGTCTTAGCCGTGAGTTCTTATTTACTCTTAGAGGAGTGACTCTTACCGTATTTAAGGGCCTCAGGCCTGGCCTCTGGCTTGGGTTGGCTTGGATTCAGGCCCTGGTCAGTTGAATTTGGGGCTGAGCGTTCATTACCACCATCCACTGCTCCCTTCCGGTTCTCCATCCTTTCTCCCCACCCCCTCTCCTTCCTTCTTTCCCTCTTTTCCCATCTCCTTCTTCTTCCTCTCCTCCTTCTTCCTCCCCTTTCTTTTTCCCCTTCCCTCATCTTTCATCTCTTTTTAGGTAACTGCACTCATCTCTTTGCTCAATGGAAATTATAATGCTTACTTTTCTCTCTTAAATTTTTTGTTGTGGGATTAATGAGAACAACCAAAGGAATGGCTTTGGTATTGTGAGACGCTCTGGATAAATTTAGAAATATCAGCCAGGTGCCGTGGCCCACTCCTGTAATCCCAACCTTTGGGAGGCCGAGCAGGGAGGATCGCTTGAACTCAAGAGTTCGAGACCAGCCTCAGCAACATAGTGAGGTCCAGTTAGTACAGTAATTATAAAAATTAGCCAGTGTGATGGCACACGTGTAGCAGCTGGGGCGAGGTGGGGATCTGGTGGGAGTGGATTGGGTGATGTGCACTGACTGCCTGGGCAACAGAGTGAGACCTTGTCTTAAAAAAAATTCAGAAGTATTATTTGCTAACTGTTTCTGCATTTTCTTCGTTCCCACATGCCCATACTCCCTTACGATGTATAGTATGCCAAGTATGCCCTTTTCTAGTCAATAAACAGCGTTTATATTTACAAATAAGAAACTACTGTTATGAGGGTCACCCTTTGTGGAGAGTTTGCTGAACCCCTGCTTTCATTTAACTATGAATTTTGATCTCTGTGGAAGACACAGAAGTCAAAGATGACAAGAGCTACCTGGTGCTGCAAGGCTGTGAGGCTTTTAGCAGATAACAATCCTCCTCCTGTTTAGGAAACCTGGCAGTTCCCTCTGCCCATTCCCATTTCAACGGTGCTACCAATTTATGCACCATTTACAGAAGAGGCCAGAAACAAAACTGCAAGGCTGTTTTGATCCAAGTAAAATGATATTGCCACTCTCTGGGAGGGGGTAGGGACTCCAAGTGAATGTTCTGGGATGATCAGGAGTAATATCTTGTCGCAGCAGCCATTAAAGAAACACTTGCCCATGGATATAGTATGCTGCTTGCATTTGCCTTTTGAGCATCCCTTCCTTCCCTCAGTTTCATTCACCGTCCTGTGATGGTGCAGTGACAGTGTGTCTATCTGTCTTTCTCTCTTCCACTCTCATTTTCAAATTTCACCTGTTTTAATAAATATGTGTAAGTCGCTATTTTTATCTACTAACTACCAAGCTTATATTGCATCCCCTGTTTTGGTTTCTTGTGCAACCAGTTCTTCCATGGGGTACTGGGACTTGCGGAAGTTCAAGTAAAAGCACAAACTCATTAATCTCGTGTTGGCATCTGCTTAAAATGGTAGGGTGTGCTGGAACCTTTGACCAAGTTTCACATCATTATGAAGGTGTCTGTTTGTGGAGATCTCCTTTTATTTTGTTTCTTATGGAATTATAGTATGTTCTTAAATCTAGGGCCGCAAGCAGGTGGTGAATGGGAATGTTGCTGTTGATTCTGCTCTTCTCCAAGTATTATTATGGCTGAGGAGTTAGGTATGAACTCCTGCACACTGCCATGCTTACTTTAACTTAAGAAATCTAGATAATTCAACACACAGGCTCTTCTCTGTATTTGTTTTAACTGTGGAATGGTCAAAATTGCTACTTTGTAAATAGGTGTAAGAGAACGAGGGAAGGGTCCATAACTATTGGTACCATTAGTGCCTTAACGATGTGGGCAGATCAAGCCACCTCACCCCAGGAGTGTGGGACTCATCCCTGTTGACAGTAATTACCTCAATGGCTGTCAGTCTAGAGCTAGTGTTTCTGGGTGATGTGAAATAGACACTTCTCCAATCCAAGGAAGAAATAACATGCACATTTAAACCCTGTCATCTGATTAATTGGAGAGTTTAGCAAGAAACCAGATAAAAGTAAATAACCTTGTACTTCCTCAACAGAGAGATGACCATCCAACTTCAAAGAAAAAACGCCAGGCAGGGGAGAAGATCATGTATACTTTGGTTTCAGTCCCACATGGCAATGACATTGCATCCCTTTTTGAACTCGATGCCACAACTCTTCAGAGAGCTGACTGCCTGGTTCCAAGGTAAAAAAAATATTATGGTTAAAAGATGTTTCTTTGAATAATTATACCAGTAGGTAAGGAATGAAAATAATAATATTAATATATTTTTATGATATCATGGGAGCAAACGTAAGTGAAGAAAAAATGTGTAAAACATTGTGCCTCTTCTGTGAGGAGGTTAACATAATTTGTTTTATTCTTATAAATAATTAAAATGTGCAGGAACAAAGAAATTCTGAAAAATTTATAAGAATCATTTATTCTTATTACTTACCTGGCCTTTGGTTACTAAAATGAAAAATAATATAAAAACATTTCTATTTATATATTTATCATTTATTTTTATTATGTCAGATTTCCCATTTCATTCATCCATTTGTTCATTTATGTAGTCATTCAGTCAACAAATATCTATTGAACATCCATTACATTCCAGGCATTGCCCTTGGCATTGGGAGGACAACAGTGAACAAACTGGTTATACTCTCACATTTTCAGATGGGGGAGACAGGCAGTAAACAAAACAATAGACATAAAATATTAATAAAAGGTCAGGTAATAAAAGTGCTTTGAAGAAAAAATGGAGGGTGTGGAGAGAGTTCTCTTAGGTAGGAGAGTTCAACTGTGTCCTCTCTGAGTTAGTATGTTTGAAGAATGATCTGAATGAATTGAGGAACCAAGTCCTCTCTTCCTGAGAGGAATATTTCAAGCAGCAGGAACACGAAATGAAAAATGTTGAAATTTACTGGGTGTTTTTAAGGACGAGTGAGAAGGCCAGAGTAATTAGATAAAAGTGAGTGAGGGGGTGTGGGATTGGAAATAAGATTGCCAGAACTTAAGGTAAGACAATATCTTACATTCTTTTGCTTGAATTTGACCATTTTATTTTACTTTTCATTTATCTTTTTTGAGACAGGATCTCACTCTGTGGCCCAGGGTGTAGTGCAGAAGCATAATCATGGCTCACTGCATCCTCTACCTCTGGTACTCAGGTGATCCTCCCACCTCAGCCTCCTGAGTAGCTGGGACTATAGGCATGCACAACCATGCCCTGCTAACTTTTGTATATTTTTGTAGAGATGAGTCTTTGCCATATTGCCTAGGCTGGTCTTGAACTCCTGGGCTCGAGGGATCCACCCACCTCAGCTTCTCAAAGTGCCGAAATTACAGGCATGAGCCACCATGCCCAGGCTAAATTTGACTATTTTAGTTAAGCTTTTCTGTCTATAACTGTCCATCTTTCAACCATAAGGCTGTGATGCAGTCTCTAGATGCATCGAGGAGTCTTGCCCATATTATTAGGGTTAGTGGGATGGCTCTAAATGGGCCTTGATGGAGCGCTATTGTGCTTGGCCTTGGCAGATGGCAGTGGTGAAGCCGAAGGCACCTATGCAAAAAGGCAGACATTGTGTGGGTTTCCTCCAGGGAGGGTAAAAAGTTACTATAATAACACTATTGAGAAACATTGCTGGTAGAGCTTCCCAGGGTGTTTTGTGGCTATTCTCATTCATAAGAAATGTTGCCAAATTTCATACCTTATATGAGTCCATCTCTCACTCTTTTTTGTTCCATCAATATAAGCCTGTAAAGAGATCCTCTCTGGTTTTACCTGACCCAGGTCTCTGGCTTTCTCCTCCCAGGACTGGGACCTTAATCAATCCTTACTATGACTTGACTTATTTTAGATTTAAGTCAGCAAAAAGGGAGCCCTTCTTGAACTCTAACCAAGAGAGTTTGCTTAAGGAAATGATAAAAGGGTCTTATGAAAGTGTATAGAACCACGATGATGGCCACCGAGCCTCCCTTTATATGGAATCATTAATCTATTACTTTTCAGAACTGTGGAAGCCCTATTCAGTATAGTGCAGAATTTTGTATTAACATCAATTCATCTGTCATTAATTGTATTAAAGCCAACATTAATTAATGCTTAATAATAACTACTATTATAATATAACTCTTGAGCACTTTTTATGTACTAAGTCCTGTGTCAGGTTCTTAATAAATATTATCTTATTGAATACTGGCAGTAACCCTTACAGATCAGGAACTAGAGACTGAGTTAGAACCAGTGGTTCTCAAGTTGACTGTAAATTAGACTCACTTGGGTAATGTTGACACCTTGCCATGCCCTGGCCACGCTGAGACCATGAAATCAGAGTCTCACAGGTGGCGTGCAGGCTTTACTCTTTTTAAAGCATTTATTACCTAAGTGATTCCACTGTGGAGTCCAGTGTTTCTCAAACTTTATAGTCCAGTGCTGCTTAAACTAAATCACTGTACTAAATCACTTGGGGACCTGATGACAACTGAGTACAAATTACGTCTCTTGTGTAATTCAATGCGGAAGATGCTAAGTGATAAAACAGAGGCATTTCAGAATTTCTAGATATTTGAACAAAGATTGGAGGACTGCTATTTTAGATTTGTGAAGCTCAGTTTGTATTTTATCTACTTCTGTAAAGGAGCAGAACCAGGTTGTTGAATGAATCTCTTTGCCTGAGGCCCTTGGCATTTTATTTGGTTTTCTTTTCTTGGCCCTAATGCTTTTTACCTTATGTTGTAAGACATATTTATGCCTTATCTTTATACTGATCTGTAAGCAACCTGAAGGCAGAGTACTTATTGTGCTTTTCTTTTAATAGGCACTATACACATATTTGTTAAAGAAATAACAAAAGATTATAAAAGATTTACTAAAAATGGTAATACTTGAGTAGGATGAAGTTCTAGGTGTCCTTTCTTAGGCACTCTGTCACAGTTCATATCTAGTCAATTTTTAAAGTATATGTTACATGGAATTAGCAAATACTGAACCATTGTTCCTAGGGGAAATACAGTTAAATTCCTGTGAGCTTCTGGTCACATTTTTGTTGACCAATACATAGCCTTGTTCTATGTGTGCTTCTGTTTAAATACACCTTATTCAATATATGTTGCTGATTCATTAACATTGAATTTGTGGTCAGTAGCACTATAACTCATGCATGAACGAAGCTCATATAGCACAAGTATTTTCTTTGTAAGGCATATCACAGCCTTCTTGTGCTTGGGAACACTAGACGTGCGTAACTTTAGGAACTTCTACACCTCATGTGGGGGCCATCTTAAACATCAAAATCACCAAAAAAAAGCACAGAAGTGTGAAAAACATGGCACTAAATAGAGCACAAAAAGGACACTTGTTTATAGCATGAGAACTGAGACAAGACGCAGAGCATCACCTTGTTCTACTTCAGCTTGGAAATGTGCCTACTGGGCCACTTAAATTTTTGTCACTCTATGTGTGTCCTGAAATGACCACAAAAGCTCCTTGAACACTGATTGGGGGGTTACAAATAAATTTTAGTGAGCAGGAGAATTCACAAGTACAGAAGCCACAAATAATGAGGATTTATTGTACATTAATACTTTTACATACAAATAATTAAACTACACAAACTACACTACTGTCTGCCAGCAGTGTTAGCTGAGTTATTTGTTATTTGATCAATGTTCTTAGTTTAGCATGCATCAGAACTGCCTGGAGAACCTATTAAACTACTCATTGTTGGGCTACACCCCCAAAGTTTCTGATTCAGTTGATGGGGATGAAGTTTCAGAATTTGTATTAATAACAAGCTCCCAGGCGATGCTGATGCCACTGGTCTAGGGACCACACTTTGAGAACTACTGGCTTAGGCAATAATGCTGCATGCTTTGAAATAGTCTATAATTCAGAATTTCCCCTTAAAGCAGAGGGATCTTGAGTCAATTACTAGTTAATATATATTTATGTTCATATCATATATGAAGTTGTTAAAGATGTCAATATGTAAATGTGCTAATTTTTTATAATTTGTTTTTTTATATTGTTTTGCTTTTAGGAACTCATATGTTCGGTTAAGGCATTTATGCACCAACACATGGGTAACCAGTACTAGTATCCCCATAGACACAGATGAAGAGAGGCCTGTTATGTTAAAGGTAAATGTCACTGAATATGGTTTAATTTTTAGCCACATGTCATCCGAATAGGATTAGGATAGGAATGCTGTGTGACATGTTCCTTATACTCCATCTTCACCAATATTAGATATCATTGCAATTAATTACATCAAGCATGCATGTCTGCCAGTTGCTTAGGTAGCTGATCTAAATGGGTTGGAGGCAGCAAAGCTGTGATTCAGGAGGATGCTACGGAGACATCGAAAAGAACGGTAGCGGCATGTGGATGGAGAAGTAGAATCCAGGAGTGCCTTTTCTCTACTGTCAAAACTGGAGCAGAGGGCAAGTGTGAAAGGGAGAGGTTTCCAGTGGGGCTTTGGAACAGGGCAGGAAGTGGGCACAGGAAATCTCTGTGTCCCCACAGCCTTTCATAGTGGACGAAGCAGGTGGGAGTTACTGTGTTTGCATGATCTATTCTTGTCTTATATTTCTTAAATAGTACTAGATGTATTAGTCCTCAACGAATATTGTATAGTTGTTTATAAAACTAATCTTAATGGAAAAACACATTTCAGATTGGAACCTGCCAAACCAAAGAAGATAAAGAAGCGTTCGCCATCGTGTCTGTCCCACTGTCTGAAGTTCGAGACTTAGACTTTGCCAATGATGCCAATAAAGTACTAGCGACCACAGTTAAAAAGCTAGAAAATGGCACAATAACTCAGAATGAAAGGAGGTGAGTAACTTTAAATGGGTCTTAAATAATCAAGAGTCAGTTGTCAGTTGTTATAGTAAGCCTGATGTGAATGAATGACTCTAAGGGAATATTTATAACATTCTCAATAGCACACGTGCTTCTGAATGAGGTGGGAACTTACTCCTCTTGATCATAGCGAGTGAATGAAATTTGTCAAATTTAAATCTGGTGAAATATTTACTTGTCCTGTTTTAGCTTTGCTTGAAAACAGTTGTTTTAAGTTATTTTCTGGTCATTCTTTTTTAAATCCTTTGTGGGAGATTTGCAATACCTTTTGCTGTGCATGATTTGATATTTGGATTTAGAGTTCTAAAGGACCTAAAGAAAGTTTTGTGTTTCTCTGATGTTATTTATTCAAGATGCATTTCTCAGCTCTGGTACCAGAAAACAAACAGATATGTAAAACCAGAAAAATTATCTGCAGGCTGTAGCTCTCTGCCCTCATAGCTTGTTCAGAGAAACTGGATCCTTGATTCTTTTTTTTTTTTTTTTTTTGAGACGGAGTCTCGCTCTGTCGCCCAGGCTGGAGTGCAGTGGCGCGATCTCGGCTCACTGCAAGCTCCACCTCCCGGGTTCACGCCATTCTCCCGCCTCAGCCTCTGAGTAGCTGGGACTACAGGCGCCCGCCACCACGCCCGGCTAGTTTTTTTTTTTTTGTATTTTTAGTAGAGACGGGGTTTCACCATGTTAGCCAGGATGGTCTCGATCTCCTGACCTCGTGATCCACCCGCCTCGGCCTCCCAAAGTGCTGGGATTACAGGCTTGAGCCACCGCGCCCGGCCGATCCTTGATTCTTAAGCTCTGGTTTTGGAAATAAGTAAGAAAGAGAATGATATTGACAGCTAGCGATTATTGCATGCCTGCTTTGTGTCAGTTACTAGGTTGGACACTGTAAATATATTTTATCTAATCCTTCAAATAGCCTTGAAATAGGTATTCTCGTTTTACATAAAGGAAAACTGAGGAGGGTAAGCAAACAAGGTAAGGCTGCATAGTTAATACTAAGGGGGGATTCAGTCCTGCATGGTTTAAAGTCCATATGCTTTCCAGTGTGCCCAAGCACAAGCATCCTCTGTATTTCCCCTCTTCATGATCTGCTACATGCCTGTTAATTTAAACAAGAAAAAGCTATTTGCCAATTTCCCAGGCATTCAGACGCTGGAACTCTCATACACAGCTGGTGAGATGATAATTGATATATACACCTTGGAAAATAGTTTGGCAGTAACTAGCAAAATTAAAGAAGCAAACACCCCATGACTCACCAATTCCACTCCTAGGCTGAACATTCTTGAACATCTGTCCAAAAGACTCTCCTCCACATGTGCACCAGGACACATGTTCAAGAATGTTCAGCTTTGTTTGAAATAACCCCAAATGGAAAACCATCCAAATGTCCAACACCAGTTGAATAGACGATGAAAATTGTGTTATTTTCATACAATGGAATACAGTTTTGCGATGAAAATAAATGAACTACATCTATGTGCAATGGCGTGGCTAAATTTGACAAACGGATTCGGTGAAAACTAGACACAACAAATACATTCACTGTAATACTATGTGTAACATACAAAAACAAGCAAAAACAAACTCCACTCCATTTCTTTGGGGGCCTTTAAGCAATTAGAAGAACCATAAAGAAATGCAAGGAAGTCATTGTGACAAAAATCAGGATGGTGTTTCTTCTTAGAGGGGAGGGAGGAATTATGCTCCCTGAAGGTTTGAAAGGTGCCTGCAGGGTTCCATTTCCTGCTGTTGGTGGTGGCTTCATGGGATTCACTTATCAGTAGTCCTTAGCTATATGTTTTAGAACTTTTTAGATACACATCTTACAATACAGAAGAACAAAAAATCCAAGTTTGCTTCCCTCCATCCCTGTCAATGAGAAAAAAATCCTAAATATGCAAACAAATGGAAAAGCTGTTTCTCAGCTTCCTCTCTGTTCTTACCTCTGTTTTTTCCCCTGCCAAACTTACATTTCAAAACAACTATTGTATATTCAGTCACACCTCCAACCCTGTTAGGGGAAATGAATAAAGGCCGGAAGCAGAAACAAGTGGCCACTTTTATGGGCTATAGACAATTAAATATCAGAGCTACATTAAGGCAGGAAACGGATTCTAATGTGCAGATAGGAATTTTTATTTGTCTGTTATTGATCTCACTTTTCCTTTCGTGCATCTATTTCCTTGTTTCTAACACTCTTACATATGCACAGCAATTTTCTTGGCTTCACTTAAAAAGTCTCCCTTGCTAAGCATTAAGGTATTCCTTGAAGAAAAGGACAGATAAAAATTCAGATTATGGGCTCTCCACCATCACTGGCTGGAATCCTGTGCAAGTCACTCTTCTTCAGTCATGGCTGGAGATTATCTTCACCTCTCAAGATGATTCTAAGGAAGGTGGTGGACTAGGACTAACTAGAGAGCATGCATGTTTATTTCCTTTGCTTCTTTCTTTCCCTACTGTTTTGGAGTGAAAAACATCGTATTAATAGCAAAGAGAAGGCTTTGCCTAAGAAATATGAAGGTACAATTATTGATCTTAATTTAGTAATTTCAGAAAAGCCACCTCCTATCAAAATTCATTCAAAGCTGCCTGTCAGTAAGGTAGAGCTTGTTGGCAGAGTTGAATGCATTTGTATTATTTTCTCATGTTTGGAATTGAATATAAAATTATTTCTGAAAATAACTGACAACTCTGACTTTTTTCCCCCTATGGAAAATGAAGCGATTATTATCTGTGTCAAAAAGCCTGTGTTGTTGGAATTTTTTTTTTTTCTCTCTCTCTGTCTCTCTCTCTGTCTTCCCTCTTTACTTATCCCAGGAATGAACATGAGCTCTGGAAGTACAGCTCCTGTGTTATGCTTCGAGATCCTCAACCTTAAATATTTTCAGTGGAATTTTCTAATCTTATTCTACATGATCACACCCACAAAATAGAGAGGACTGGGAACGTGTCATCAGAGAGAGAGGAGGGAAGATGGAGGGGTGTTAACTGCCATCCAGAACTTGAGGAAGTGACACAGGCAGTCCTTGACCAGCATTTCTGCACTGTGTTTACCTCTGAGGGTGCACAAAATACTGGGGTTTCTCTCAAGCAGTGAGAGTTCAGAGATGGGATTAATTCAGTATTACTAAACTCCTGGTACATGCCAGGCACTTGGCCACGCAGCATGGGTATATGTGGTGCTAATGTGGTGGTGAAGGCCACAGACTATCCCATGTCTCTGTGAAACTTACCCTCTTGAGGGATGGTTCTCATTCCCCATGATAGGAGCTCAGGATCTAGAACAGGGGTCATCCACCGTGTGATCACCAGATCAGATGTCGTTCTGATGTTGCTTCTCAGAGCAACATCATTTTCTCTTAAATTTTATTTGCCAGGTATGACTATCCTGACACCAGCAATCTTTAGTTTAACATTTGCCTGATGTCTCTTTTTCCATATCTTTTTATTTCATGTTTCCTGGTCATTTTGTTTTAGTGAGCAGCAGAAGGTTGATTGTAATAATCTAATCTGATAGTCTATTTTATTTATTTTTTTGAGGCAGGGTCTTGCTCTGTTGCCAAGGCTGGAGTGCAGTGGTCCAATCATGGCTTACTGCAGCCTCAACCTCCTGGGCTCAGGTGATCCTCTCGCCTCAGACTCCCAAGTAGCTGGGAACACAGGCACGTGCCACCACACCCAGCTAATTTTTTTGATTTTTCTAAAGACAGGGTTCGCCTTGTTGCCCAGGCTAATCTCAAACTCCTGAGCTTAAGCAATCTGCCTTTCTTGGCCTCCCAAAGTGCTGGGATTACAGGCGTGAACCACCGTGCCTGACTGATAGTCTATTTTCATTTGCAAGTTTAATGACTTTGTATTTGATCAATTTATTTGAATACATTTTTATTTCTGTTTTTCTTTCTTTAGTGTAGCTTGTTTTCATTTCCTTTACTTCTTTCTTGCTTTCTGCTAGATTAATAAAGTTTGTATTCCCCTCCCACCATTTTACTGTTTTCTGTACTGATTTAGAAGCTTTTGGTCATATTTTTATTCATTAGCAATTACGCTTGAATTCTTATCATACATTTTGACTGTATATTCTTCTTGATAAACTTGAAGTTACTAATTTTTTTCTCCCTCCCATGAAAGAAAAGTGTTACAGCATGCTTTGGTTTTGCCCTGACTTTCTCCCTCCCATCTTTCTTGTAGTAGTTGTCTAGAACCATAGTTCTGTGTTTATTCTCTTCATTTGTAAAATTTTATTTTAATTTGATAAATACAAAAGAATAAATGTATCAGTATAAGTCATGATGCACCACCTTTTGTTTCTACCGATAAATTGTATTCCTTTCTTCTAAAGACAATGAAACATCTTTTTTTTTTAACTTAAAACATTTATTTTATTTTTTAATCTTATTTCAGTAGTTTTTGGGGAGAGAAATTTAGTTTCTAAATTTTTTTTAGTGATTAATTTTATTTTTAAAATAATTTTACCTCTTCTTCTGCCCCTTTCTTTATGTTTTCCTCCTGTCTTTATTACTTGTATCTCACTTATTCGTTCTCATTCGTTCTCTTTTCATCTTGCTGAAATTTATTCTTTAGTCCATTCAGTGGAGAGGCTTATGGGTTATAATCTTTTTAGTTTTTACATATATGAAAATATCTTTATTTTGCCTTTACTTTTTTTTTTTTTAAGACAGAGTCTCACTCTGTCGCCCAGGCTGGAGTGCAGTGGTGTGATCTTGGCTCACTGCAAGCTCCGCCTCCCAGGCTCAGCGATTCTTCTGCCTCAGCCTCCTGAGTAGCTGGGATTATAGGCACCCACCACCACACCCGGCTAATTTTGTATTTTTAGTAGATACGGGGTTTCACCGTGTTAGCCAGGATGGTCTCGAACTCCTGACCTCAGGTAATCTGCCCGCCTTGGCCTGCCAAAGTGCTGGGATTACAGACATGAGCCACCACACCCAGCCGGAATTTACTCTCTTAGCACATTTCTTTTTTATTTTTTTGAGGTGGAGTCTTGCTCTGTCTCCCAGGCTGGAGTGCAGTGGCACAATCTTGGCTCACTGCAACCTCTGCCTCCTGGGTTCAAGTGATTCTCCTGCCTCAGCCTCCCGAGTTGCTGGGATTACAGGTGTGAGCCACCGTGCCCTTGCTTTACTCTTAAGTGATACTTTATGTATGAGATGTCAGATTGATTATTACTTTCTATCAGTATTTTAAAGCTATAATTTAATTACTTGCTAGCATATCTTGTTGCTGTTAAGAAATCTGTTGTCAATAGACTTGTTATTCTTTATTGGTAATTTTTCTTGTCTTGGTAATTTTATATATTATTTTTCTTTGCTTTTGATGTCTTAAGATTTCACCATGATGTGTTTACAAAGGAGTTTTATTTTGTTTTTTCTCATTTGACATTTAAGGTATACTTTTAATCTGAATACTTATTTCTTCCTTCAATTCTTGGATTTTTTCAGCCATTTTCCTGCAAATATTGCTTCTTTGTCTTTTTCTTCCTTTCTGTCTTTTGGAACTTTTATGAGATATATGTTGGATCCTCTTAATTCATCATTTTTGTCTCTTAACTTCCCTTTTATTATTTGCCTTTTAATATTTCTCTGTGCTATTATCTGAATCGATTTTTGATACTACCTGAGTAGCTGGGACAACAGGAGCATGCCACCTCACCCAACTAATTTTTTAATTGTTTCGTGCAAACAGGGTTTCACTCTGTTGCCCTGGCTGATTTTGAACTCGGGCTCAAGCAATCCTCCTGCCTCCACCTCCCAAAATGCCAGGATTACAGGCATGAGTCACTGTGCTCGGCATATAATTATTATCTATCAGATTTTTTTTTGTATATCCACCTATTTTTCATTTATATTGGCCCTTTTAAAATATGTTGTCTTTTTAATATATTGCTTTCTTTATCTCTTTGAAGACTGAATACACACTCATTTAAAACTTATTTTGAAACTGTTTTGTTACTCGGATTTTGTCGGTGGTGGAGTAGCCTCCTAATGCTTTAGTATGGAGGCTGTCTTCTTCAATGTCAGCTTTCCTTATGTGCTTTGGACTTTTACTATGTGTGATTTTCTTAGGTGGGAGATTTCTGTTTTTCCTTTATCTACATGCACTTGTCTTCTTTGTCAGTTTTATGCTGGCTTCTACCTGGTTTCCTCAACTAGACCAGAGCCAGATCTGATATCGAGAGCTGAGAGTCCATGTTCTCTGGTAATACGATACTTTAATCATGGAGATAGCTGGTGGCTGGGTCCAGCCCTATCCATGTGCATCCATTGTTTCCTCCTATCACTGCACAGCCAAAGCCTGAATAAGGGCCACTGAACTTTAAGTTTTCTTCAAGAGGTTAGAGAAGCCGTATGTTTGTCTCTGCTGCATATGTTTAGTTTATTTCCCTACCATGTGTTTTTGGTCCCTCTTACCTTGCAAGAGTTGAACATCATCCCTGTTCCTCACTGTTTTTCTTATTTTGTTCATTTTCCATAAAGCTTAAAAAGCAAACTAGTAAGATTGCGTGAGTTAGTAGGAGCTCACCACTGCCCAGTATAGAATCAGAGTTTGAGCTAAATTGAAAACAAACCAGCTCTTTGTTTTGCCACAAAAGGGATGCTTGAGGCGCAAGGTGAAAAAAAGGTTTCAACAGTTTCAGAGGTCAAAAGAGAAGGTTGCTCTTCCTGGCTTCCATGGCCTTGTCATGAAGAGGTGGGCTTTATATGTAGGGTTGACGTATCATGATTTGCAATCTAGACTGTTAATATTCGTCATGATCATTCTATTAACCATCTTCAATTTTCAGGGCATTTGAATGACTTTGAAACAGAGCAATCTGTAGTTGCTCACAAAATTTTACTTTCTTAGACATCTAAATATTTGATTACAGTTATTGAAACAGTAAGAGAAAAGGAATCTTAATAATTTAAAAAAGAAAATGCAAATATTTATGGCCAAACTGGACTTGCATTGGGCATATAGAAACTGAAGTTCAACTTTTTTTCATTGTGCTGAAGTAACCTCAGCTCCAAATTTCTTTTGTTTTGTTTTAAGAGCAACAGAATGATTTGGAGGACATTAAATCACAATTTCAAAAGAAGTTCACACCACATTTGGATGCACATGAAACGCGTTTTACGTTTCTGTGGCTGCCTTCAGAGATTCAACGTAACTATGTCTGTGAATTATGTCAGACACAATTTTCCAAAAGAAACAGACTGGGTTAAAATTTAAAATAGGCATACCAAGAAAACATAGAATCCCAGGAATTTTGGAGGGAAGTTTATGATCCCTGGAAGTATACTGAAATTTCTCTGGGTGACTAAATTATGGATTCTAGGCGTGTCCACTTGGCTTCACGAAGCGCATTCTCTTTCAAGACATAAATCGGGAGATAAGATCAAGATGTTTTCCTACCAAAGGTATTGAAAGAGAAGAAAAGAGATGTTTTCCAACTGAATACATTCTATACTTTCCTGGAATTGTTGAAGCTCTTAAAATGTAGTGTTCTTATGAATGTGTTCATGATTAGCATCATTGTATTCACATGCTAGCAACAGCAAATAAAGATGCTAACACTATATGGATAAAGCTAATTTAACAATTTATTGGTCAGCTTTTGTCTTATTCCAAAAAAATTATGTGTTTATTGAATAATTAAGTTGTACTTTACCACTAATACAATTTAAAAAATGCCTTGACCCTTCCAATACAGATTCCTCCTCTGTTTACCCATTTTTGCAATAGCTTGAACCCCTGCCCCCTCCCTCAATTGACTAACAGAAATGGAAAATGACAAAGAGCAGGCAGAGGAAGGAGGAGGAAAAAAGTGAAGAGAGGAAGGGCTTTCAAGACACTTCCTGTACTAAATGCCACTGAAGTTCAAGTAATAGTTGTAATAATAACCAAAATATAGATTTAAAAGTGAACATTGGTGTATGGTTTTAGAATTTCGTGATTTTGATAGGTCATTTAATACTTCCAGTATTTTGAGTGTCAGATTGCTTACTCTGTCTCTATTCGCAGGTCATTTAAGTTTTTCCTATTCTGTACATTGGGTAAGTTGAAATGTGGGGAGTACTAGGAAATGTCGTTTGAGTTAACAGTAAAAAAATAAAGAAAAAGAATTGAAATTTAGGAATTTAGTATAGCTGTTTTCCCTTAAGCAGAAATATGCTGCTTTGCTAGTCAGTTGTGGAAAGTCATCTGGTGGTGTCATCCTACCTACTCGTGTGTAGTTGCGACTCACATGGCTTTATTTGATAATAGTCTGCAAACACTTGAGAACTGGAGGCACAAGTAGAGGTTGGAGATGCTAGAGAAGGAATTTTCTTTGTAAAGGTTTAGGTAAACAGTAACTGTCTTAGAGACTATTTTGTCAATTAAATACCTTTTTTGTTATAAAATACCTTGTTTTCAAGTGTTTCAGTTCTTATTACTTAATAAAAAGAAATTTCCATGGATTTGAGTTCCACTCCTGAAGAAAAAGTAAAAAAATCTATCTGCCTCTCTATCTATACCTACCTACCTACCTATCATATATCTATACATTTTCCAAAATTAAGCACACCGTAAAGTAAAATTTCCTTTTCATTTTGTAATAGGTTTGTAACCAAATTATTGGAAGACCTCATCTTCTTTGTTGCTGATGTGCCTAATAATGGACAAGAAGTTCTGGATGTGGTTATCACTAAGCCAAACCGAGAGCGTCAAAAATTGATGAGGGAACAAAACATACTGGCGCAGGTGAATTTTTTCATGTACTAAATTTGTATATTTTATTTTCTGAATTACAGTATCAGGAAAGTACTTGTATTAGTTATCTATTACTATGAAGCAAATGATCCCAAAACTTAGTGGCTGAAAACAAGATATTTCCTATTTCACAGTTTCTGTGGACTAGCGATCTAGGCGTGGCTTACATGGGCCAATCTCGTTCAGGGTCTCTCACCAGGCTACAGTCAAGGTGTTTGCTGGGGCTGCAGGCATCTCAAGGTTCAACTGAGAGAGGACTCGCCTTCCAGTCCTCTCACATGGGCGTCTCTCAGGAGTGCCTCAAGACAAGGCAGCTTGCTTTCCTTAGAACTGAGGGATCCAAGAGAAAACTAGAGGGGACGCTCACGTGGAAGCTACCATCTTTGTATAACCTAATCTTAGAAGTAACATCAGTTCTACTGTGTTCTATTAGTTAGAAATGAGTTAATAAATCTAACCCATAGTTAAGGAGAGAGGATTCTATGAGGCTGTGAATATCAGGAGGCAGGAATATCAGAGACCATTGTAGAGACAGCCTACCATGGACCTCCAAAAACCCTGTATAGTCAGACTATCTCCAGAAAATATGCTGGAAAAATTCCTAGGTAGAATTTCCAGGTGAACTTGGAAAGTGCGATCTCCATCTGCTTCCTACTTCTTTCCTTCTCTTCCCTAGGAAAGTAGGGCAGTCTGTTCATCAGCTGACAAGTGCTCTGTACAATATTCTAGGTTTTTTTCCCTGAAAGTACAGAACTGGTCATATATTACATCTTTTTGAAATTGTTTATAACACATCAAATTGATTCACTTCCTAATGATATGCACATATGGACATGCCTATATTTATGTATTATTTTTATTCTATTAATTGCTATTTAAATTAATGAGTTTCTTCATTAATGAAGTACAGACTCAAGGAAGATACTTAAAACATAAAAATCATGCTCTTGATACACATATTCTTATTGATTTGGGAAAGGCAAATAGTAGACATAATATTAGTTATTATATGTAGCTGATTGTCTGAAAATACAAAATCAACATTTTTCTCAAATAAAATAAAGGTTGCAAATCTAATAGGACTTTTTTTGAGTAATTATTCTATAAAAACATTTGATTTCAAATAATTTTAGGACCTTGGATGATTTATTAATAATATCTGAACCAACATATGTCAAATATTTTATTTTTGTATGATAAATATAAAATTAAAGGCTCAGTGAATACAAAGTTATTAAAGAAACTTTGCTTCATATCATATTTCATGAATTCCAAAGAATAATTCCTTTCTGTTTTGCTTTCATGCATTAATGCTCATGCCCTTGACTCTGCTCTTTCATAGACAATTTCCTCATTCTAGCAGCTCATCTCCAGGTGATCCCTCCTGCTGTCTTGCTGCCGAAAAGAGTTATATTCCTCAGTGCTTTTTAAATGCTTCCTAACTGCTAACCCTCTTACAAGAATCTGGCTTCCTGGGTGCCACCAGCTGCCCATGTGGCTCCTAATTTGTCACATTTGAATGCTGATACGTTCATTGATTTGGCCACATCTTTGTGTACAAACAACAATAAATTAACTCTTTTATAAAGTAGTTTACAAGCAATGTTTGGAAGTCATTTTCTGATGTCAGTTTTAATGAAAAGTAAATGTTTTCTTTATATTATTTTGATTTTGAAAGGTTCTAGAAAATAATAGAAGAAACTATAGAGCCCCTAGAAATCAAGCTACATTTTAGTTCATCTGAATATGTTCATGTAACTTGGTGAAATTAAACATCTTCATATTTCTTATTTTATAAAATATGAGTTCTAAACAAAATTAAGCATTTTATTTAAAGAATGTTTTTGTCATTCAATGTAGGGGACCCTTTTAGCAGTGCTTTTCTGATCCTTGATATGTTGGTCCTGTAAAGTAAATCCTCTTTGTTTTCCCCCTTTACGCTAACAATACTCAAATTTATATGAGTGTTTTTTGAATCAATGTTCTTATTTGTTTAAAAAAAAAGGTTGCACAACGTTTTATTCATCAGAATAGGTGGCTGTTTTTATTCCTGGTAGGTATTTGGAATTCTTAAAGCACCCTTTAAAGAGAAAGCAGGAGAAGGCTCAATGCTGCGACTTGAAGATCTTGGGGATCAAAGATATGCACCCTACAAGTACATGCTGCGGCTCTGTTACCGTGTCCTGAGACACTCTCAGCAGGATTACCGGAAAAATCAGGTCGGAGAGTAGCCCCCATTTAAAACTGTTTCATATTTAAAAAGTATGGGCAAGGTTCTTTGATTGCAATTCTATAGCATGGAAAATATGAATGGGAAATTTCACTTAGAAATTTTATATTGGGCAATACATAAAAATGATTTGTAAGTATTTTTGAATTGTATTGACCATGGCTTTATTCTTCCATATGAAATTAGAATCACTGGGGGAGGATGTCCTGAGTACTAATATGTGCCTGTTATTGGCTCCTGGTGGCCAGGACATCCTGGATCTATTATTTAAGGCGGAATGGAACATTTTTGGCTTGAGGAACATGTGAGGTACAGCATCCCTGTGTATGGACCAAAGAGGTTATAATTTAATGGAAAAGATATGATGGGAGACAAAAGACACAGAGAAAAAACAGAGTTATGGGAATTCACAAGAGAGAGAGCCCAGTGGTGGCTTTGGGAACCAAGGAAGGATTCTTGGAGAAGGAAGCCTTTGGGTAGGATGAGAATCATTTTCATAAATTGTACGGGAAGAGGTATTTGTGAAGAGAGATCTATGAAGTGAGAATGATAGATGCTAGAAAGGGCATGTTTGCCCTAAGATATTTGCAACTGCTGAGGTCAGGGAACCCAGGTGGATCTAGGGGTACAGCTAACAGTTACCAGTTGCAAGTGAAATTTCTCTTTAAGTCTCATTTTTATCTTAAAAATACAAGCCAGGTGTTGTGGCTCAAGCCTGTAATCCCAACACTTGAGGAGGCCACGGTTGGGGGATTACTCGAGGCCAGGAGTTCTAGACCAGCCTAGGCAATATAGGGAGGTCCCCATCTCTACAAAAATGAAAAATAACTGGGTATGGTGGTGTGTGCCTGTAGTCCCAGCTACTAAAGAGGCTAAGGCTGGAGGATAGAGGATAGCTTCAGCCTCGGAGTTTGAGGCTGTAGTGAGTTACGATCACACTAGTACACTCCAGCCTGAGTAACAGACCCTGCCTCATACAAAACAAAGCAATCACAAGCTTAATCTTTCGCAATATGTTCAATAATGTAAATGTCTAACATAAAATTGCATAAAACTCATCATTGTTTGATAAATTAGTGTTTCTCTTAATCCATTTGAGGACAGAGTGCATCACTGTAAGTTTCATTGACGAGTTTGGTCCATGAAGAAAGATGATGTGGGAGAGGGCTGGAAGGGCAGGGCGAGCTAAGCCACTAGGGCCTAGGATGTCAATCCTAGAAGGTGGAGGTTATTTGGGAAGAGTTAGTAGTATTTATTGTGTACTTACTTTGTACCAGGCTCAGTTCTGCATACTTGTCATGAATTAATTCAGTAACACTGAATTAAGATGAAGGACAGAGGCACAGAAAGGTTAAGTAACTTGTCCAAGGTGATAGTTTAAGAATGGAGCCAGTCTGCAAACCCAGGCTCTGAATCATCGCACTGTTGCACCTTGGTAGTTTGAACATTTTTGGGGAAGAAAAAAAGATTTGTTTTAAGAAGATTGTGTTAAAATATTTTGGCTTCATAATTGTGTTTGAAGAGTAAGAAAGGTCTGAAAAGAGTATGTAAAAACATTAGCTAGAAGATAAATCATATGGCAAGGAATAGGAGTAAGAGCAAGGGGACGATATAAACAAATCCTTAAATATTGTCTAATATAATCTTAGTTATAAACACCCTTCTTGCTAGTCCAAATGCTGTCACTAGAATTATTTTTCCCAACTTCATTGGGTTCCTTTAAGATGGCAAGATGAAGTAGATAGCGTTGTTCATATTTTTTTGGAAGAAGAATTAAGTACCAGAACATTAAATGGCCTTCCTTCAAGCACTCAGAGGCAGTGATGGGGCATGCTCCTAGTATCAGACCCTGAGTTCTTAGTGGAGATCTGGAGTGGGGAAGGAGAATGAGAGGCTGCTCAATGTTTTCTCCTTGCTCTCAGTTTTCTTCTTGGGTTTGGAGAAATACTCTTGTGAGATAGGTCACCACTTCACCCATACGAGCAATGCTGTATTACAGAGATTGACATTAACAGGAAAAAAAAAAAAAAAAAAAACCCAACAGGTCTATAGAGGTTACCCAGGGCCCTCAGGCCCATCAGGTCCCATGATGTGCACCCTGCTTGATGGCTGTTAGCCTTTGGAAGGGTGCTTAGGGCCTCTTCCCTTTTCTGCAGCCCAGTGCTTCAGGATGGCGGGGAGCCAGATCACTTTGGATTTGGTTATTTCGCTAGTCACTAGTAGGTTCCCTGGGCGGCATGTCTTAACTGGTGTCAGTTCTGTCTCTCAAGATCTGGCACACATGGTTCTTTCTCACTCCCCTCTCGGTCTTGGCCAAGTATCAGTGTGTACGTACACACACCCCCCCCACACACGTGTGTGCACACCTCCCCCCCGACACACATACCCCTACCTAGTCATATTACTCCTTTCAGGTACATGTTTATGCACTTCAAGGACCTGCTTTCTGGGTTTCTTTGGAGCATAGAGATAGAGTATAGATGATAAAGGAATAAAGAATCCCTAGCATTTGTTAAGGGTTATATTTTATTTTTCTTCCCTTTCTATTGTGTGTTCTAATTGAATCTCAGTGATAGCTGAGAAATGTTTTCTCATTTCTATTGAATTAAGAATGCTTTGTAGAAAGCATAAAACAGCTTTCTGATGTTTTCAGAACATGATTTTAAAATGTTCTGTATTATTATGTAGTATATGTTATATAGTATTATAGCTATAATTACTTTGTTTTTTTTTTATCTTTACCTATATGTTATAGTCCTAATAGGAAGTTCATTTGTGACTTAACACTAATCCATGTATTTAATATTGAATCTCTATTTATTACTATTTATAAAATTTGATACCACCTCTAATTTCATTTAGTTATTTATTAACATCTTTGGATGTTTACCTTATACCAGGGTATGACTACAGTAGGCATGAAAGTGTATAAATCAATATGTATCCTTAAAATGATATACTAACAGAAGACATTTACTTTACTTAACTGGCTACCCAATACACAAAGCCATCATTCTGAAAGGCCACAAAAATGCTGCTTAGCATGTAATTAGATTTGTGCAATCAATATCATTTTCAAGGAATAGGTACATTCCAGTAAATTTTACCTAAGGCAAAATCACTTTCTAATCAATAAATTCTCTCATCATAGAAACAAAGACACATTTCCAGGGAGAATCCCAAGGAATCAAAGTAAGAACCTTTCATGGTAGAAGGGGGTGAAGCTCACCAGTTCCATGGCAGTGTGAGATGTGCTGCTTGTAGACAGAACATGGGAGATGAAAAATAGTGGTTTGGGATATAGGAAAATTAGTGTGATGAATAAGGAGTAGATCAAACAATAACATAATTGAACCTCCCCAGTGGCATTCTCTTACTTTTAGAATAACCTCTTTGCTCTTTACCATGGCTCACAAGGATTCTTTTGACCTACCTCTCCAACTTCAACTTTGCCTTCTGCCCCTTACCACTGCCTAGCTACAGTGGCCACCTTCTGTTGATAGAACACAAGCTTGGTTCTGCTACCACAGGGCCTTTGCACTGGCTGCTCCCACTGCCTAGATGACTTCCCTCTAGGTCTTCCAATGGCTGCCTCGTTCTCTTCATTCCCATCCTAGCTCACATGTCACTTCTTCAGCATCCACCCTATCTAACGTTGATACCTTCCTCCATTCCTCTGTTTGTTTCATTTCACTTGTCAACATGGAATGGAATATAGTAGGCCTTCAAGAACAAGAAACATTTATTGGGCGAATGGATCTAATCAATAAAATGATTAATCACATTGCCCTGCTTGGTAGCTTTTTAAAGATAAAAATTATATGATGGGGGAGGGGGGAGGGATAGCATTAGGAGATATACCTAATGTAAATGACAAGTTAATGGGTGCAGCACACCAACATGGCACATGTATACATATGTAAGAAACCTGCACGTTGTGCACATGTACCCTAGAACTTAAAGTATAATAATAAAAAAAATTAGATGACATTTTACCATTATTTTAAAGAAAAGATCTTGCATATCATTCTAGCCTATTCACAAAAAAGGAATCAACCCAAGTCCATCTAGGATCTTCAAGTAACAACCCAGATCTCATGTCTCATGAATGAAATATCAGGCAGTCATCTTCTTCTCTATAATTATGCCCAAATCATTGGCTGTGACTTTAAGTAAGAGATTGAAGAAAAGCCTCTGTTAGACTGATGAAATCCAAAGTTATTGTGTCATAAAAACTTATTTTAATTAGATTTATTTTTTCCACTTAGACTGTAAATACTTCTGTTGATAATTATGTCTAGGTGTATAACTTTTTGGTAGAAGTTCAATAATGTATATCCAGTATGTTTTCATGTCTTTCCTCAAAAAGTTCTATTTATTGAAAAATTTACTTGCTTTTCTTTTGAGAAAATTTTTAGTGAACTTTCTGTTATGAATAAATTAATCAATGTTGTTGACCCTAATAGAACGTGTTATTTGTAAACTGTTTGGCAGTGTATTCTGACAGCCTTTCTTCTTTGCAGGAATATATTGCTAAGAATTTCTGTGTCATGCAGTCCCAGATTGGCTATGATATTTTGGCAGAAGATACTATCACAGCTTTGTTGCACAACAACAGAAAACTACTAGAGAAACATATCACAGCAAAAGAAATAGAAACATTTGTCAGTTTACTCAGGAGAAATCGGGAGCCAAGGTTTGAAATGATTCATGCGGTATTCTTTCCTAGTGGAGACTGTGGCTTTGTGTTTTATTTTTAGAACTTTTAAAAGTTAGAATTCTTTCATATCACTAACTTTTATGGACAAACTATGTTGGGCTTATTGCTATAATAATTGTATATAATAAAGAGTTACTACCTCATAAGAGATCAAAGCCCTTTATAGACACACTTAAGTGTGATTGATTTTCACTCGGAATCCTCATGATTTTATAGACCTTTATGGTTTCTCAAAATACATTCATATTATTTAGATCCTTGCACATTTGTGTGAGATACACTGGTTGTATATTATTGCCCCCATTTTAGAGATGAGACAATAGAAGCCTAGTGAGCAACTTGCCCAGGCGTACCCTAATAGGAATAGAACGCAAGGTAAATCAAGGGTTTCTGATTCCACATCAAGTTCTTTTTCTGTTGTACCATGCTGCCTTATCTTGAAGAAATGAGTGCAGAAAAGTCAAGCCAATTGGCAGTGTTTCCTTAGCTAATTAGTACAGCAAATAAATGCTAGAAGGTAGAAATGGGCCTCTGACTTGACCAGGTCATAGTAATTTTCATTAGGCGTGTGCTCTATTTCTATTTTATTCAGTACAGCATTAGCTTTTATCTGCTTTTGGTTTGATATTCAGCTCTGGGGAGACTCACTTTAGGGGAGATGAATGATTTTCTAAATGTAAGTCACGGTGCTGTGGGAGGAATATCATAAAATAAATAGAAGCAAACACGTCGGTTTTGAAACAAGACTTGTATTAAATGAAAAAAAATTATATGTTTAATTTGTTTCTAATGATGCAGTAAACAACACATTAGACAAATGTTGCGTGGAAATAATATTAAAACATATAATAAGTTTATTTTATTATATTCCAAATTATGTCTTTATTCTGATGCTTTTATAAAATGCTTCGTCTTCATATTCCATTTAATTTTTTTCTCTTGCCAGGTTTTTGGATTATTTGTCAGATCTGTGTGTGTCTAATACCACTGCTATTCCTGTAACTCAAGAACTCATCTGTAAATTTATGTTGAGTCCAGGCAATGCAGACATTCTCATTCAAACTAAGTAAGCCCAGATAATGGATGCATCATTTTCCTGTTGATTATTTGTAAGCATTGTAGTTGTTTGTCATATTTACAAGTGTACTTTTTAGTAGATTTTTGTATGTGCTATTTATTTGAAGGGTGGTCTCAATGCAAGCAGACAACCCCATGGAGAGCTCCATCCTTTCCGATGACATTGACGATGAAGAAGTTTGGCTCTATTGGATTGACAGCAACAGGGAACCTCATGGCAAAGCTATCAGGCACCTTGCTCAAGAGGCAAAAGAAGGCACCAAAGCTGACTTAGAAGTTCTTACCTATTACAGGTTAAGTATTGTAGACAATCTTACAATAATTCTCAATCTTATGTATTAATTGAGAACTGCTTCTCTGTAGCCACTAGAAGTTAGGCATCTATGAAGAGGCAATTTTAAAAGTCATGTCGGAACTAGGGTAGCTGAAATATTTAGTATTATTTAAAATATTCAAAATACAAGTTAACATGTCTATTTTCTGCATACACCACTTGTAATTTCCTGGTTTTTCACCAGCTTGGAATTGTTGTGCAGCCAAAGGCTTTGTCGTCGTATTGAGTAGAGTGGAGGCAGATGAGAGACATGTTAGGACCTAGGTGATGGAGTCGAGAGGGATATAGACATGGGGCTAAGGAAATTGATCTGGCCACAAGGGTAGCCAGTAGTTTAGTATAGAGTGGATTATGAATATGTGGTGACCTAGGGCCTAAGAGAAACTGGTGCCTGTAGTTATGAAAGTTCAGCACTGGAATATGGCAGCAGAAGTACTGAAGGCAGTTCCTGGTGGTCAGCATATTGGGAGCAAGAACCTAGCTGGCGTCTTTGAGTTGCAGGGATAGAAACCTTGGGGCAGAAGCCTTGGGGCCAACTTGGGCCCAAATGGCAAGAATCAGACAAAGACAGATGACGCGTTGTGTTCCCTGGTTTCTACAACTATAGCAACCAAATCAAAGGCTAATTCTTAATCTCAAAACTGGGCTGATAAGCCAAGTGCACTCATGCCATTTGGACTGATCATTTTTGGTTTGGGAACTGAATGGGGCGAAACCTGGAGTGTAGACACTAGAGCCTGAAGCTGAGTGAGGCTGAGGAAGGTGGAGAGAGATGGTTTCACGTGAGCTGTTGCCCAGAGCCTTCAGCCTGAGTGCAGTGTTTGTAATCCTAGGAAACCCAGACTGGAGTGCCTAGTGACACTCTCCAGCAGACACATTTTGCTGAAACAAGTAAGAGGTATTGTAACTGAAGGGACAGAGAGACAGTTTCATATATGTCTTGTCATTTGATCTTAATGGTTAACATACTACAATCAAGAGTTTGACTCCAATATCATGAATGCTTGGAAATACAGGTGTCTTAAACATAGATACTGATTGGTACTATGATGTTTAAAGATTTCTTCGAGATAAGGCAATAATGTAATATGTTTATCATTTTTAAGGTACCAGCTAAACCTCTTTGCAAGGATGTGCTTGGATCGCCAGTATCTGGCCATAAACCAGATTTCTACACAGCTCTCTGTAGACCTGATCCTGCGGTGTGTGTCGGATGAGAGCCTGCCGTTCGACCTCCGAGCGTCCTTCTGTCGCCTCATGCTCCACATGCACGTTGACCGGGATCCCCAGGAGTCTGTGGTGCCTGTTCGCTATGCCAGGCTCTGGACAGAAATCCCCACAAAGATCACAATTCATGAGTATGTTTGGAAAAAGGTCTTGAGGCTTTGGAGTCCAGCAGATGAACTCCACATCAAATGGCTACAGTTTTGAAATGTAACATGTGCAAAGGCATTTGTGTGTCCTGTCGCGGGTTGTTAATCTTCTAAATGCAAATAAGATACTCGTTTTTGAGGGTGAAATAACTCTCAGTGGGAATAAAGGCATTTTCTAGAAAACAATAAGCAAATAATGTTGCTGTAATTGGCAAGAATTTTAAGTACTTCATATTGTGGTAGACTGCTACAACTGCTTTACACATCGCTCATTTCACAACAGCCCCGTTTTACAGATGAGGACCCAGGCCCTAGGAAGGCTAACTAATTTATCCAGGATTATGCAGCCAGGAAGCTAAAGTACATATGTTTTATTATTTTTAAATGATTGCAATCAGTTTAACTTGCATTATCTTCTTTCTGTATTTCCAGATATGATTCTATAACAGACTCTTCCCGAAATGATATGAAGAGGAAATTTGCCCTGACAATGGAATTTGTTGAAGAATATTTGAAAGAAGTCGTAAACCAGCCCTTTCCTTTTGGGGATAAAGAAAAAAATAAACTGACATTTGAGGTACTTTTTCCCTCCAATATTTAGGATGTTTTGGTAACTGGGTAGTTTAGTTCATGAAGATACTCTTTTCTCTGCCATTTTTAAAAGATAGTTTTGGTGCTTTAATGTCCAGTAGAAAACATTTTATTTATAATTGTCTATTAATTACTGTTTCCCTTGATTTTTTTTGTTTCATTTGTGTAAGATTTTTTGCATGTAATAAGCACAGGCAGTTTTGCATATTTTGTGGAATGTTTGGATCCTTTTTTTTGTCTCTAAGGAGATGATGTTTTTATTCTCATTGAACTGAATTGAAATATCTTCAGTTTGGGGATGTAGTGACAAAACTAGAGAAAGGATGCTATTACTTGATACCTGGTGTATTAGCTACCTACTGGTGTATAACAAATTACTCCAAAACTTTGCAGCCTGAAGCAACAAACATTATCATAGCTTCTATGGGTCAGGAAGCCAGGAGTAGCTTAGCTGGGTGGTTCTGGCTCAGGGTCTGTGATGGGGTAGCCAGCAAGCTGTTGACTGGGATTGCAGCCATCTGGGGCTGGACAGTCTGTTTCTAAGGTCACTGGAGGGGTTGTTGGTGGCCACACCTCCTTGCTGGCTGTTGGCACCTCAGCTTCCTGCCATGTGGGCCTTTCTGTAGGCTGCCTGGGTGTCCTCATGACATGGCACCTGGCTTCCTCAAAGCAAGCCATCTGAGAGAGAGAGAGAGTCCAAGATGGAAGTTGCAGTCTTCTGTAATCTAATCTTGGAAGTGACATGTCATCAATTCTGTTGGTCACTTGGACCAACTCTGATACAGTGTGGTAGGGGGAGACTATTCACTGGGGGCCACATGTTGGAGGTAGACTCTTGCACTTGGAATGTCCTCTGCAATCCACAAGACCACAAAGCAGCATAGGGAACATGGATTTCTGGGCAAATTTCTTGGATAATAGCCATTTATTAAAGTAATTAATTGGTGCAACCATTTATTAAGTGGCATCCTGCTGACTTAAATTACTTAAATGTTTAATTAAGATGTAAATAATTCTAGTGTAAATTTTGTTAAGTACCTTAAAGCACTCTGAATCTTACTTGGATTTAGTTCTAGACTTGAATAAATCAAAGTTCAAGTGGTTGCTTTTGCAAGTATTTTAATTCCTAGGTGTTAAAGAATTAGGAAGTTTAGAAATAGCTGTGCTAATTTAGATAATAAAAAGCCAATGTTTATTGCAATTCCCAATGTTTTTTCCAGTCTTTCACCCTCCCCCTCCCTGCTTTTTTTTTTATTAAGGTGGTCCACTTGGCTCGGAATCTTATATACTTTGGATTTTATAGTTTCAGTGAGTTATTAAGGCTAACAAGAACACTTCTGGCTATTTTAGACATTGTACAGGCTCCCATGTCGTCATACTTTGAAAGATTAAGCAAATTTCAAGATGGAGGTAAGAATTTTGAGAAATGTGATAATATCATTGTTATTACTTGGAAGCAAGATAAAAAACAAAACTACAGAGAAGGTGTTGCTATTGTGTACCTGCTAATATATGTGTGCATATGAACACAATTCCTGTGACAGGGCTGAGTGATAATAAGGTGGATTTATAAACATGCATCTCTGTTTATAATGCTAAAGCTTTGAAAGATGAATTCATAAGGTCAGATTCCATCTTTAGCAGCTAACATTATAGCCAAACCACTTGTGAAAATATTATGTGTTAAAAAATGAAAACATCTTGATATTTGTGGTCATCTGGTTCAAGCAATTCTCCTGCCTCAGCCTCCTTTATTTTTACAAATACAGATTAAATTATAAGGTGTCAAAGAGAGAATAGATTTGAAAGCTATGCTCCACAGCAGAGCTTAGACAGATGCAAGGGAGACCAGGCACAGTGGCCCACCCCTGTAATCCCAGCACTTTGTGAGGCCAAGGCGGGCAGATCATGAGGTCAGGAAATCGAGACCATCCTGGCCAACATGATGAAAACCCGTCTCTACTAAAAATGCAAAAATTAGCTGGGCATGGTGGCGCGTGCCTGTAATCACAGCTCCTCAGGAGGCTGAGGTAGGAGAATTGTTTGAACCAGGGAGTCAGACGTTGCAGTGAGCCAAGATCGTGCCACTGCGCTCCAGCCTGACGACAGAATGAGACTCCATCTCAAAAAAAAAAAAAAAAAAAAAAAAAAAAAAAGAAAAGAAAAAAAAAGAAAGATTCAAGGAAAGGGCTGGCGAAGTATCATGCCAGAGAAGGAGCGAATGCCACGCCAGTGTGGGAACCTGTGGAGTGAAGTGGATAAGAGAATGGGCTTTCAAGTTAGAGTGCCTGTATTCAAATCCTGCCTTGACCATTTATAAGGTACTTATCTTCTCTATGATTTTTCTTTTCTCATCTGAGATACGAATATGATAATAATATCCTTCTCACAGTTTCCTTGCAAAAATTAAGGGAATGTATATAATACATTCAATGGGCTTTCAACAGTGACTGTCTCATAAGTAAATACAAAGTTTTTATGACGATTGTCTTGGGTTGGATACCCTAAAAACACCCTGAGATAGAGGCTTGTTTGCAGAAGGTATATGGAGGAGTGCACTTGGATATATACCTGTTAGGAAGTGAGGAAGGTAGGACTGGGCAGGCAGAGAAGCTCATCTGCAATGCAGTCATGACTGAGACCTCAGGTCATCCTGTAGGGAGCTCTGGAGCTGCGATGCTCTTTGGAATTGTCACAAATTAAGGCAAAGGGGGCCACACTTGGTGTCTTTGCATCAGCCAGCTATTACTACTTGGCTTTGTCCCGGAGGGGGCTGTGTAACATTGGGTAAGAGTCCGTCCTAGCGAGAGGTACAGCTGTAAATAGCAACAAGGATGCCCAGCAGCTGGGGCAGTAAGAGCCTCAGCCCTGAAAAGGGGACACAGGTGGAGCACAGTAGTATCCACTACAACATCCACTACAGGATTAAAAGGTCAAAAACCAGAAACCTAATTTCAGACATAAAGAAGAAATATCTAGTTAAGAATTATAAATGAGCAGCTTACGTAACCTAAAGTAATTAATTGCTGCTGCTCAAATCTCAATTCCTTTTTTAGCTTTCAAAAAACTATATAAATCATTAAGAAGCCAACTGAACCACATAAATCACTCACCTTCAGCATAACTAGAAGCGAGGGGACAATGCAAATGCTAGTTACTGTAAGTAGAAAAATATTCATTCATTTTTAGTACAGCTGCCTGGTGGAGCTCCCATTGCAAGCTTTGAGGATGGTGAGCGGTTTTCGGAGAAACTGGGGAAGAGAAAAGGGATCGTATGCAAAGGGAATGAAATGAAATTGTATGAAAATCACCCTCAGAAAGAGAAAGTCTATGTAGGTGTGAAAACATGGAAAAAGTATCCAGGTAGATAAGAGCACCAACTAAACAGGAAGGGACTTGAAATAGCACAGGGAGCAGTTGTGGAAAAGCAGTGCTTCTAGGGATGAACAAGTTCGCAGGTAAGGGAAGGGCACGCCTTCGAGTCTTTTGGTGAAGGAAAAAGAGGCAAGATGGGGAGATCTAGAATACCACAAGACAAAAGAAACCTGAAACATCGATGGGCATATCACTCCACCAACCTCCACCAAAAGCCAAATTTTAAAGAAACTGCACTTCATGACTCTGACAGGAGGGGGCGCCCTTGAACCAGAGATCCTGTAAACCCGCTCATTGTTAATCCTGTCTGCTGAATGTGTCAGTGTCATCAGTCTCACTATGTGAAACCGCTACCGCTGTTTAAGACAAAAACAGAATGGAAAAATCTAAACACCTCAGTGGATGGAAATTCCTCCCTGAAAAGCAACTGTGAAGCAGAAGAATATTGTAACATGATACTCTAAATGGAATTAAGTAGCTTCAAGCACAGTGAACTATGGAAAACACTTTGATTCATAAATTCAAAAACTAAGATCAGAAATGGACCAAAACCCAAGAAGAAATGAAATGAAAATTGATTGAACTTAGGAAAGAAATAGAATAAAATGGTTGGCTTTATTTATTTATTTATTTTTACCAACACAGATTAAATTATAAGGTGTCAAAGAGAGAATAGATTTGAAGGAAAATCAAATAGGTGACATTGAAGAAAGGCAGGAGAATAATGAAGAAAATGACAATAATCCAAAGAAACAAGTGATGAGGGTGAGAGGGAAAGAGGCTGAAATGGAAGAAAGGCAAAGAAGAGCCACCATATGAATAATTGGAGTCCCTGAAGAAGAAAAACAAGAAAATGGAACAGAATTGAGTATTTAAAATTGCAATCCAAGAGAACCTTTTGGAAATAAAAGACAACCTGAATCTACATGGTATAATTATCCAGAATGGTAATCTCTAAGAACATAATAAAATTATTATATGTAGTATACATTCAGAGAGAGAATAATAAGGGTTTGAGGGAGGAACCATGAGAGCAAATGGAGAAAAAAGGAAAGCGTATATGAATATTCTTTACTATTATTGCATCTTTAAAGTAAATTGAATTTTTTATAAAAATAAATCCATGAACAACATACGAATGAGAGCAAAGCAAAGACCAAGAACTGTAGTTGTTAATCAAAGAGCAGGGGCATGCAGGGGTCTATATTAATTCTGCTGCCTGAATCTCACTAGTGAGACTCCTTTTACCACTCCCAGAGGGTACATAACACTTGAAATGTCTGTATTAAAGCTTCTTGTTATGCTTTTACAGTCTTCAGTCTAAACTAAATTATTCTTAAAAAGCTTGAAGTTGATCCTGACTTTTGGTCTCAGTGCTTACAGTCTGCCTTCAGTGTTTCACCATGAAGAGTATTTTATTAAAGACTTACTTTTTTTTAGAGCAGTTTTAGGTTCATGGCAAAATTAAGAGGAAGATACAGAGATTTTTTTATTTATCACCTGCCCCCCAACATGCATAGCCTCCCCATATCAACATCCTCCACCACAGGGGTACATTTGTTACAATTGATAAACCAACATTGACGTCATTATGTCAAGTTCGTCCTTGACATTGGGGTTCACTGTTGGTGTCGCACATTCTATGTATTTGGACAAATATATAATGACACGTATCTAACATTATAGTATCATACAGCATCTTTTCACTGCCCTAAAAATTCTCTGTGCTCTGCATATTCAACCCCTCTCCCACCTCCTCACTGACCCCTGGCAACTGCTGATTTTTTTCTCTCTCTATAGTTTTGCCTAAGGAAAGTATTTTTTTTCTTGGAAAAGTTGTAACTTGTTTGCACTCTCCACTGTCCTGTTTATATCTGCCCTCAAAGACACATAAATTTAATTTTTATAATTCTCATATTTTTAGTGAATTCCATTGACTTCTAGATACCTTGATTATTTCTTTCAGCAATCTGATAATAATTTATTATTTTATTTAACAAGAATCTATTGAAGAATTACAATATGCCAGACACAGTTCTAGTCACTGGTAATAAGTAATGAACAAGATAACCAAAGTTGTTAGTCACAGGGAAGACAATTAATAAATAAATAGGCAAAATTTTTCCTTTCTCCTATTAAGAGAAACAGCCAGATTATCTATCTATCTATCTATCTATCTATCTATCTATCTATCTATCTATCTATCTATCTATCTTGTAACATCTGATAATGCTGTGAAGAAAAAGTAGGTCAATGATATGGAGACTGATAGAGTGAGGGAGGGTAGAATTTTGTTTTAAGTTTGATGGGCAATCTCTGGAGGGATTTGAGAAGGGACTGATGTGATCTGATCATGTTGGCTGCTGAATGGAGAATAGAGAATATCTATGTGGGCAAAAATGTTGAAGACTGAGAAACTGTTTCAGATTAGAGGAGATTAAAGAGACATGACAACTAAAATTCAATATGCAATTCAGCACTGGATCCTGAATTAGGAGAAATATTATCTATAGAAGATATTATTGGCACAAGTGATAAAATTTGAAAATGAATTATAGGAATATGGATTGCAGGTTATATTTGAATATTGATTATGTCAGTTAGATTCCCTGACTTTTGTAATTGCACTGTGCTTAGCTAAGCTAATATACTTGTTTTTAGCGAATACGTGCTGAAGAATTGAAAGTTGAAAGGTCATGATGTCTGGAACTAACTTTCAAATAGAGCAGGAAAGATGTGTGTGTGTGTGCATGTGCGTGTGTGTGTGTGTGTGTGAGTGTGTGGAGACAGAGAGATGCAAATGTGGCAGCATTTGTGAATCTAATCAATCTGGGCAGAGTCTATGTGGGAGTTCTTTGTACTATTCTTGCAACTCTTCCTATAAATTTGAAAGTTTTCTAAAACAAAAAAGTTAAGAACTTAAGTAATTAACTTGGTAGGAAAAGGATTTATGTTATGCAAGATGACAATTCAAACCTCAAGAATGATCTTACAACTCTACTAGGAGATGTGTTATTAATATTATAGTTAGGTTC